GGGGGGGCGGCTCACTAGCATTTGGAATGTAACATGGCCACATTTTTTCAGTTTTAAAAATCACTGAAAGGCCTGATACTTATTCAGAAACAGATTTTTGCAAAGGATTTAGACAGAAAGTGTGACAAAACAGCTGCTCATGCCTCCTTGCATCTGTGTGGTACACTCATCTGCCCTGTTGATAAGAGCAGCTGATAAGCCAGGCCTGGACTTCCCAGTATAGCTGTGTGGGATGCTTTGATCCCTTCTTAGGGCACACGTATGTCCTTCCCCTGCACTCATGTATGTCCATGTAATAAATGAACCCAGGTTGTAACAAGGCATAGACAAGCTTAGAGAGCAGCTTTTCTGTTACGTATCCCAGTATAGTTAGTGGAGTCACTAACTAATTACTGCCCCCTCTGTAGTTCTTCAGAAGACAAAGGAGAAGGAAGACACAGGCTGGAAGGGAAGACTGGAGAGGTTAAACAACCAGGTGAGGGTGGCTAGTTAGTTAGTGGCAAGGCCAGGCCCCTCAGAGCCCTCCAGCTCAGAGAGTCATGACTATGACTTCTTTGTGAAATGCCTGGTTTGTGACTGGCACTGAATGCTACTCAGTGTGTAAACTCACATCAGACACAGCCAGCCCCTGCAAATTCACTCTCCCTCCCTCTTGTCAGTCCTACCTGGCAGACATTCAATCAAGTTCCAGGACTGACTGTCTTAGATTCGACTGCAACCTCTTTCCACTCATAATACCAGCTTTTCACACAGGACTCAGAACAATCATAGAATTGAGACAATTTATAGATGTAAACACCCTATTCTAAGTGCTCAGATAGCATAAAATGCCTAATAATGTCAGTGATAGTCTCCAGACAGCTGTCAGGTGACCCCACTGGCTCAGTGCTCGCCTTGAGTGTGTTTCTCTAGACCAGGGAGCCTGAAAACAGGCAGGGCTGCTGGCTTGTTAAACAGGACACCCAACAGAGAGGTAAAGGAAAAAATTGATCAAGTCCCTTTTGCATCTTGCAGGCTACATGCGAACGAGGATTTGCAGCAATGGAAGAAACTCACCAGAAGAAGATTGAAGATCTCCAGAGGCAGCACCAGCGGGAACTGGAGAAACTGCGAGAGGAAAAAGACCGCCTCCTGGCTGAGGAGACTGCAGCCACCATCTCAGGTGGGAGCTGGTCGTGGTGACTGGGTTAACCCAGGGGGCAGGACAAGTGGAAGACTTTTCCTGAGCTGAATGTACAGCTCACAGTAATGACTGGTCTTTGTGCTGTGTTTTGGTTAACATTTATGCTTCATTATCCAAGGAGATTTTACTTTTCAATCACAGTTTACATTCAATATTAGTTTCAGCTGTACAGCATAGTGGTTAGACAATCATATACTTTACAAAGTGTTGTGTCGTCCGTCCGTCCCCCCCCCCCC